CTATGGGCCGGCTGCTGAATTACACGACAAGAAGGCGGTTCAGCGCTTGGAGATTACGAAGACATGGTTGGGCCGTTCCGGGCAGTGTCCCTTATCGATTTCACTACAAAGTAGCCCGGATGAATCCCCGCCGGCTACACCTCCGACTTCGGAATTGCGCAGCGGTCAATTTCTGCAGGTACTCATTACATTCGCCCCACGCTGGCAGCATATCCGTTTCACAACTCCACCATCTGTCCTTGCCAACATGTCGCACCTCACGGCCACCGCTGTGCCTATGCTGGAGAGCATTACCTTTCATCTTCAGCAACGATTTCCGTTCCCCCCTATAAAGTGGGACATTTTCGAGATGCTTAGAAGTCCCAGCATTTCCAGCTTCTCTGTCTCAGGGAACAGCTTTATCCGCGAAAAAATACCAATCCACTGGCATCAGCTGACAAATCTGACCCTTGACGGTCATGCCTGGCATTCCTTGACGACTACCGAAACGGTGTTGCAGACACTCTCGAGCTGCCCCAATCTTCGCAGCTGCAAGCTAGTGGTCAATGACAGTGCGATCACGGGAATGCCGTTACTACATCCCACCGTAGAGCTTCGATTCCTTCACACACTCGAGTTGGATTTCGGAAGTGCGGTTTCCACAGTGCCACGTCTCCTGGAGCATCTTTCACTCCCCGAATTACACACATTTACCCTTCACGGATTTGCGGATTTTCAAAGTACCTTTTCACTGGCCCCCTTCTTTCCCCTTTGGACACGCTTGGAGAGTCTCACCATCGCCAGCAGTACATTTGCTCATTCATCTTTACTCGATAGCCTCGGGAATTTGCCGTCCTCTTTGCGGCAGCTCAAAATCCTCGATATCTTTCACGGAGGGCCAGAATCGGAACTTTGGTTCCTCGACAATGATGCCCTGGCGGTCATGGCGACTTCTGGTGCAGCGTTGGAGACTGTGATCATAAAATACTGCTCCGCAATCTCAGACGAGGCTCTCCTCAAGTTCATAGTTACAAAGATGGCGCAGGAATGCCGACTGAAACGTGTGGAGATCCAGTTTAGCAGAGAAATGGTGCTCGACATCCTTCCAAGCCTCCAGCCGTTTGTCGAGACTGGTCTTGATATCTCACTCACATATCTTCAGCCTCCAACAAACTACACACTATTCTCACCTTGGCAGGGATTAGCTGATGCCCCAGGTCAACCAAATTGGTAGATAATCTTTGTCTGTCTAATTATGTGTAGTTGTGTAAAAAAATGTTGGTCTTTGTACATCATCTATAACCACCACTTTTACCTTCACGGTTGGGTGACTTTCACTGACTCCTAGAAGGCGGGCATGTCTTCTTGTAAATTACCGCCTTGTAAGAAACCTTGCCTTGGAACGCCGCAGCAGACACTCATTTGAGCAACAAGCTCGTCTCTCTTTGGGACAAAGCCTTAAGGTAATCAGAGTTCTTGGTTACACCCTGCATAATTGAAAGTTCGACTGAAGAAGCTAAACAGTGTATTTAAGGGCTTTACTAAAGACCTTTCGGGTAAAGGCCATTGCCATCATTGGGCGGATTTCCAACATCCCCGAGATCGCCGAATATAGGCGAACTACTATACAAATCGAGCGTGCAGTGTTCCCTGGGCCCCCGACTCCATTGGGAACCTTGGTTGACTTTGCAAAGGTTTGTTGTCTAGGCTCAATGCTACTCATCACGTCGCGAGGCCGTGCCGTGCAATCTCCGACTCGATGAACCTGGAATGCATTCCTATTTGCAAACGGCTACTAATAGTAATACAGTTCCACTACACCATAGTTTCTCTCCATGTGTGCACTACTGAATCCGCTATAAACCTTGAGTAGTGATGGCGTAGACACTACATCGGCCGGAAGGACGCTTTTAGGCTGCAGCATCTAGGAGAGAACATAGCACCGACCATCTCGGAGTTGTTGCAGGTCACGCTAAATTTGCGATTCAAAAAACGTACACAGAATAAGAAAACTATACATAATTCCACGGACAAAGATGATTGAGAATCTACCAATAATTTGGATAACACGATGCATCAACCACTCCCCACCAGGGCGAGAACAACGTGGAGGTAGTGTTTGACGAAATATATGTGAGTGAGACATCAAGAGTCTCCACAAATCGCTGAAGGCTTGGGAGGATTAAAAATAAAAAAAATACTAGAACGTCGACAAAGTAGTCGAGTTGGGGCCGCTTTTAACTGTTTTTGACAGAGTCAAAGGTATGTTTGTGCTATGGTTGACGCAGCCGATGTTGTCTGGGCCAGCGAGGAATAGCTTTGGCGAGTTAATGTCAGTGTCTTGCCCACGGCGCCGCACGCCTACTGATCAAGTGTTTAATGTTGAAAAATGCATTAACTGAGGTGGATTGACATCTATCTTGGTCAAAACTAGTCTCCTCGCCCGGAAGCTAAAGTTTCTGACTCGGGAAGCTCTGCCGTTCCGCCGACACTGGTAGTCGTCATCAAACGAATTATAATCCGACCTCAGGTTGAATATGAACAAGATATTAATTTGAAGAGGAAAGAATCAGAGCGTGACTGAGCTGGCCTGGTTTCGTAATAGTTCCAGAATTTTAATATTACACGCCCATAAATCTAAAAAGCCTTGAAGCTAACGAGATTTCCACAGTGAGGCCTCTGGGAGAGTTAGATCCATGGGTAACCCTACCCCCACAGATTTCAAACCCATGGTCCAGCATCAAGGCAGCACATATCTTTTGGGCTGTCCTTATTAATTTTTTGCTTGTCAAGCACAACTCGAGACAATCCCGAATTTCGGAGGTGCGCCGCGCGCCTAAGTATAACGCGCGCTTGAGTCATGTCACATGAGCGCGCTGCGTGCCCGCCAATCACCGCCAGCGCTTGTTCAGCTTGTCGTCTGCACTCATGTCTTCCCCGTTCGCTGCCCGGCTGGGTACCAACTATTGTCCCAAGGACGAGGAGATCGTACAGATCAAAAGCTTCCTCGTCGAACCCTCTCTTCGATTGAAGCGGCTTGACGAGGAAATTATTGATCTTCAAAAGGCTATCAACAAGCTCGCGGCAGAGCGTGACGAGCTGGGAACCTTTGTGGAGGGCCACAAGGCTCTTATTTCGCCTGTCCGCCGGTTACCCCTCGATATAGTCCAAGAGATATTCGTGGCATGCATTCCCACTCACCGAAACTGCGTCATGAGTGCCTCCGAGGCGCCGGTCCTGCTCGGACGCATATGCAGCTCATGGAGAGCTATTGCATTCTTCACACCTCGCCTTTGGGCCCGACTTCATATCGTTGGACCTCCGCGGGGCGGCCATGGTTTAACTACCGAATCGATTAACAAGAAAGTGGCCCAGCGCTTGGCGGTTACCGAGATGTGGTTGGGACGTTCTGGCCAGTGCCCCCTGTCGATTTCCTTGCAAAGTAGCTTGAATGGCTCTCCGCCGGTTACACCTTCGACTTCGGACCCATCTTTTGGTCAATTTCTACAGGCACTCATCTCATTCGCGCCGCGTTGGCAGCATATCCGTTTCGCATTCACAAATCCGTCATCTATTCTCGAGGACATGGTGCACCTTAATGCCACTGACGTACCTATGTTGAAGAGCATCTCGTTTCGCATGCACCAGCGATTCCCGTTCCTTCCTGTGAACTGGGAACTTCTCGAGATGCTTAGGAGTCCCAGCATTTCCAGTTTCTCTGTCTCAGGGAACATCTTTATCCGCGAAAAAACACCAATCCACTGGCATCAGCTGACGGACCTGACCATTGACGGTCTTGCCTGGCATTCCTCGACGACTAGTGAACTAGTGTTGCAGACACTCTCGAGGTGCCCCAATCTTCGCAGCTGCAAGCTAGCGATCAATGACGGTGGAATCATCGATCCGCAGCTGCCGCATTCCGTCGTGGAGCTTGGATTTCTTCACACACTCGAGTTGGATTTCGGGGGCGCGGTTTCCACCGTCCCACGTTTCCTGGAGCAAATTTCACTGCCCAAAATGCACACCTTTACCCTTCACGGATATGCAGATCTTCAAAGTGCCTTTTCATTGGCACCTTTCTTCGGTTTCGGTACCCGTTTGGAGAGTCTCAGTATTGACAGCAATACATTCTCTAAACCAACGTTACTCAGTAGCCTCGGGAGCTTGCCATCCTCTTTGCGGCAGCTCAGCATCCTCGATATTTTTCGAGGAGGGGGATCGGAACTTTGGTCATTCGACGATGATGCCTTGGCGGTCCTAGCGACTTCTGGTGCAGCATTGGAGACTGTGATCATAAAATACTGCTCTGCAATCTCAGACGAGGCTCTCCTCAAGTTCATCGTTACAAAGATGGCACAGGAATGCCGACTGAAACGTGTGGAGATCCAGTTTAGCAGAGAAATGGTGCTCGACATCCTTCCAAGCCTCCAGCCATTTGTTGAGACCGGTCTTGATATCTCACTCACATACATTCCGCCTCAAACGACCTCCACACCATTCTCACCTTGGCAGGGATTGGCTGATGACCCGGGTGAACCAAATTGGTAGACAGTCTTTCTCCGTCTAATTATGTGTATTTGTGTGGAGAATGTTGGTCTTTGTACATTATCTACAACCGCGAATTTTTGCCTTCATGGTTGAGTGACCTTCACCAACTCCTCGAGGGCGAGCCGCCTGCCTTGTTTCTCGTAAATCACCGCCGTGTACAAAATGTTGTCTTGGAAAACAAAATTGCCGCAAAGGACTCTCATTGTCTGAGCAACAAGGTCGTCTCTCTCTTTGAGACAAAGCCTTAAGGGAGCCAGGGTTCCTGGTTACACCTTGCATAATCGAAAGTTCAACTGAAGAAACTAAAGGGATTATTTAAGGGCTTCCTAAAGACCTTTAGAGTAAAGGCCTTTGCCCTCTGGGCGAACACTGCTGCAAGCTAGCGGTAAGTTGTCTTGCGTTCGTGTTTTCCAATGTTTAACTTTTTTCTTCTCTTACCCACTGCACGAACAAATGAACATGGAGGGAACAACGGCCTGGTAATATAGCGGTAACACACCCTCCCTGAATTCGCGTTACTGGAGTTTTCCGAGGGTTCTTTGTTCGAATCAAAGCCAGGCCACTCGTGGACGACGTCGCGACGTAGACTTCTCTCCGTCGCCCATTGTAGAAGCACACGATGTAGCCAGGAATTGAGAATTGAGCCTGACAGAACACTGGCCTGGTAGTGTAACAGCAACATGCCCTGCTCAAATGATCGTCACCACCTGCTTTGTATTTCCAGGGAGTCCCTCGTTCGAATCGAGGCCAGGCCGCTACAAGTTTCCATTACTGTTTTTTTCTCCTCTCTTCCAGCAAAACTGCTCGACCATACCACAGCTAGCAGCTCCGAGATCATGTCGTCAGGAAAGACTTGGCTAATAGCTTCTACGTACGGAATACAGAAAAGCGCGTCAAAACGCGACGAATCGAAAGCATAAATGTAGCACAAGACACAGACACTACACTCATACGTCCGAACACCAAGTCCTCCCGCAACGCGTCCGCGTCCCCTTCCGCCAGAACCGCGAGCAACGCGTCGTAATCATAGCAGCGGGACGAGTGTCGTGGGACGTGCACCGGTAGTCGTTCGGGGACGCGTAGCGCTACTGGTGGGAGCGGGACGATAAGCCGTAGTCGTTGATGGCCGCGTCGGCGTTGTCCCAGCACCATCCGCGACGCAGTGCTTCAGACTTGTGCGGACGTGGCGCCATCGCTCTAGCCAGCAGCGAGAGGCAGCGCCACGGGGAACCGGTAAGCGATGTGCTGCCCGCGCTCGCTTGCATTGAGGGTGCAGGCATTGCAGGAGCTGTGGTCGCCCCCGCGTTGCCCTTACGCAGATCACGCCGAGCCCTGCAAGTCGTAAGGTGAAACGCAGCAGACGGCCACATCGAAGCCCGCGGATCCTTCCCCGCTCGCGCGGAACCTGCGCGACATGGGTGTCTGTGTTTGCGCCGAGGGCGCGACGCAGTAGCGGGAGTGTCCGTATGCTCAGGGCGCTCCCCAAAACGAGCGCGATGGTGCCCGTGCCGTGCTCAGATGCGTGTCGGCTTGCGCGCTGGTGTTGAAGCCCCCGTCCCCCGCCGGCGCCCTCATTCCATCCCGGGCCGCGTTCGATTCGTGCTGGAATTCGAAGGGGAGTGAACGCTGCTACGGTATCCGCACCACGCCCATCAGCTGGTGATCGCTGCTGCACCCGTCCGAATGGCCAACCGGTGCAGCAGGGGTGTGGCACTCTACCCCTTCCCGTCTGGCGCCGCGCGTGAGCATGAGTGGCATCTAGTAACCAACGATCTGTACTTCGGGCGGGCGTTGCCCGGCGCCGGAGTTTTGGGAGGAAGGGAGGCAGCTGTGGTCCGAGTCTGCTCATGCGCCAGTGACGCAAACGTGGAGGTGCAATGCAAAGACGAAGACGACGGGAGGTGCGGCGAGCGAGGTGATGGGGAAGTGGATTGAGGAAGGATGCGCGTGGTGGGCACGGAGATGAAGGAGGAGGCATGCCTTACTCAAAGACATTATCGAGCCTTCTCCCTCCATCTCAAGCTCAGAGGTAGCTTCCATCTCCACCCACGCGCGCTCGTCGTGATCCTGCTGGTAGACACGAAGCAAGGCGACGGAGCGAGCGGGGAGACGTGCCAGGGCCAAGGGACGCAGGGCAGAGGAAGAGGAAATGTCGCAGGTGTGGTGCGGTGGGAGGAGGCGGCGAGACCGAGGCGGTAGAGGTACGCATTGAGGTCGATGTCCCCCGTGCGGAGCTGGGTGTGATCACGCTGCATTGGGACCGAGTCGGGTCGTCGCACATTCTGGACCGCGAGGCGGGGATGGTGTCGCCGAGGAGGGAGAGGCGCAGGCGCCTGGGGAAGTCATTCCACTCCGAGGCCAAGGCGCGAGTGCGCATCGAAGGGGAGGCCAGCGAACGCGAACGTTGTGGCGCGCGCGGGGTCCGGAGATGAGTGCGTCGCTCTCGGGCGTCTGCGTCTGCGTCTTCAGTTAGAGGAGGACGCGTTAAGAAGCAGCCGGGCGAGGACAAGCACGATCTAACGAAGACGGGAGCGGCGCCGTTGGGAAAGGCCGCTTATCTTCGAGCGGGCGTGGTTTCACTGTCATGTCGGTGGTGGGATGAAGGCATTTCAAAATTCGTGCGCATCGGTTCTGTTTCCAATCAAACTGTAGGTCAGATAAGATACATTAAAAAGGGTGGAAATAAGACTCACGGATGGACTAGCACTGATGCTGCAGAGACAGAGTTCAAGTGGCGGAGAGCAGTGTTTGCGGCCGTCCTCATCAGCTTGCAGAATAAACACGACCATCGTTGGCTTTCTCTTCTCCTCCAACAAAGCCTCCGAGATCAAGCTACGGCGACCACGATCCCGGGAGTGTTTCCTTTGCGAGATCAAATTTCAACGAGTTACATTGTGAGGAGATCCATTCACGTGGTCTCGAGCGCCCTTGGAGTCTGCAACGTTGAAAGTCTCGTCTCGAGCGCTTCTCCGATCGTGAAGCGCCTTGAAAACGTGAGCGAGCGTCCGATATTCCAAGCGGTCAGTGTGTTTCCCTGCCTTTTCTCCGTCTCCGTCTCACTTTTGTTCCACGGATGCAGGCACGCCACCGCGCGCATTCCTTCTGCGGCTCCCTTACCGATACGCCGTCTCGATGTGGGTGCAGTGAACGCCTACGAGTCCAAGGAGATCTTTCATCGACGCCATTTTTGCAAGATTGGACCTCATGCGAACCAGCGCATTTGCGATTCGATTCGTGTATTCTCAGCGAGCGGATCGGATTTCCCTCGACCTTTTCCACGCCAAAGTTCGCTCTATTCATTTCCCTCTTGACTCTCAAGTCTGGCACCTATCGGCACTCACCTGGCCAAATGGCAAAGAAGTTCGGACACTTTTTTCCGCACGCTTGCCACGCAAATCCGACTCGCCGGCTCTTTCTTTTCTATTCGCCACTAGAAATTCCAACAATCACATTTTCTGCGTGGAAAATATCCCTGCTGTCGATCTGCAACCCCCAAGCGTGAGTCTTTGCGATGATAATCCCGACCGTGACCTTCCTGTCAAGCCCGCATTTGCCCTCTTCGAACTGGAAGCCTCCAACTTGATGTGATTTTTTCAACTTCGAGTCTTACTAAAGAAGACTTCACTCTTCGACTTGCGCTCGGTTTTCAGAGCTTTTGTTTTGTTCATGTTGCATTACCCACGGACCTCGCATCCGTTCCAAATCAATATCCATTTGTTTTTTCTGTGCGAGTTGTGATAATGAAATTCTCAAATAATCGCGGCCTGCTGGTGTAATGGCAACATAGCCTGACTTATAGAATCAATTTCTGTACATTAAAAGGGAGCCCCTGGTTCGAATCCAGGGCAGGCCATAACAGTTTCTGAATTTTTTCTTCTTCCTTCGCTCAATCTTCTGCTTGACCGCTGTAACGAAACCTTCCTCGACTTCAAGCTTGCACTGTGCCATCTCTGGTTCAAGTCTGGCACCAGTCTGTTTGTGATTTCTCTTTTACACCTATGATGGTGTAATGGTAAAACACCCTATCTGTATAATCATAGGAAGTGTGTGTTCTGGGGAAGTTCTTTATTCGACTCAAGGTCAGACCAAACGATTGCGCCCTGTCGCTTTTTTCCCTCGCCTAATTTTTCGGGGGGGAAATGGCCACAGTTCGCCACACCCTACAAGTTTATTCCCGCAGTTATTGCTCCCAGGCATTAGCAAGCCGAAGGAATTGTGTTCCCTCATGCGAATGTAGGTAATTAGGTGTATCAGTGACATCCGCCGTCCTTCTGCCATCAGCCCTCGCTACAATTTTCTGATGGAAATACCATCCCAAGTTCCGAATGCGGCACGGAACAATCTTACGAACAACGTCTACTAATTAGGTCTAATTGTGGAAATACCAAGGAAATACGGACTTCCGCATCGCATCTGCATTCTGTGGATATAAGGATCTGCGCCATGGGGAACTTATCATCCCAGGCATTATGCTCCTCTCTGCACTCGCGGTACTATTCCATTTCTGCATCGCGTTCGGCGCATCCTGTAACTGTTCCCCGGTCTTTGTCCCAGTGCACGTGGATGTCTTCGTCCCCAAGGACCCGACCGATGCGTTTGCCGGCCTAAAAAGCAATTCAAGCAGTTTACGCCGTGTGGACGACATCTACAACATATATGGAGTCTTCTGTCAGCCGGAAAGCACGCCCACCAGAGACCCAGGTCCGTTAAACTTGCGCCCTCAGGGTTGACAATGAATGATTTTGATCTTCGTTTGTTACTCGAGGTGTTTTGCAGCTTCTTGTGCACGGAATCACATATACCAACCAATACTGGTCTCCGTCAGTGGAAGAATTCCAAAACTACTCTTACACGGCCTTTTCCTGCGACCGCGGTCTCTCCTCGCTGGCTATCGACTGGGTCGGCGTCGGACTGAGCACGCGCCCCGCCAATTCGTCGGACGTGCAGCACCCAACTCTAGCAGCCGCTCTCTCGCGGTTGGCGCACCACATTAAAACTGTATCTCTTCTGCCGGGCGTGCCGCCCTTTAGAACGATCATCGGTATCGGCCACAGCGCGGGCTCCGCCTTGCTCACCTTCACCGCCCTCGTCGACGGCACGCGCTCCCCCTTCGCTGCCTTCATTCTCACATCTGCGCTCAGCGACGCCGGGGCCGCGCCCACAGCTCCCTCGTCCCTCATCCCTTCTGCCCGCGATGACACCCCGCTCCGCTGGGGCGCGCTCGACCCGGGATACATCACCGCCCCTAACCGCAGTATCTTCTACCCCGCGGACTCCGCCGCGTTCTCGCCGCGCATGCAGCTCTTTGACGCGTTCACGCGCGATGTCGGGTCCGTAGCCATGCTCGCGCAGACGGGTGTGGTATCGCTTGCCGCTCAAAACTACGGTGGGCGCGTCGCCAAGGTTCTCGGGGCGGCAGACCAGTTTATTTGTGCGGACCAGCGGTGTGAAGACGTCGCAGCGTTGAGCGCGGCTGAAGGCGTGCTGTGGCCGGCTGCTTTGAGCTTTGAGCTTGTGGTATTGCAGAACAGTGGGCATGATTTGAATCTCGACTTTTTCGCGCCAGCGGCTTTCCATACTTTGGTTGGCTTTGTCGAGAAATTTTCACGTTGATAATGAATATTCATACATTCTATCGCGAGGAATATGGGCAGATAATGGGCTCCCCTCAATTCAACACACAGTGCAAATCAACCCAAGGCAAAAACTCCCCAGACTTATCCGATTAGGCTTGGCTAAATGGCTTGCGCCGCTTAGCGGAGGTTGGATTTGGCGGGGCGGGCGTCGTTTGGGGCTTAGCTTGACATTATTGTGCCCGTCCGTAAGCACAGGAGCGACAGCAACAACTGGGATCCTTGAACTGTTCAATATGGACCTGCAGAAAGGGTTCACGCGAGTCGAATGGGTGTACTCGGGCCAGCATCCCTTTGACCAAGGCCCCTACAAAGCGGCGAACACGGCGATGCAAACTTTAGTTTTCTGGCATAAGATAGAGTGCCAAGGATCAGAGCTGTTAATGTTAATGGGGAGAAATTTTGGCATGGCTCGAGATACCTCCTCAAAGTTTGGTTTAGGGAACGTATTGATCAAATGAAGCAGAAGGGATTATTTCCTGGTGGTTTAGTTGTATTGATCACCCTTTTGAAGGGATTCCCTTGTTTCAATCAAGGCTAGGCCTCGTGCTTCGCTGAGGGCTTTTTTTCACCTGACAATGGTTTCGTTCTCGGAAAAGAATACTCACTCGAGTTCATAGTATTCGTTACCATAATTTTAACCAGCAGCTCAATGTCGTTGAACGTTGAACATTGAACATCGTTGATTTTGATTTTGAACAGGAGGCACGCCGTGCTAGCGCTGTCCCGGTTCGGCAAAGCCCGGGATGACTTGCTCTTAGTTACTTTACTACCATGGTCGTTTAGGTCTAGATCTTGCGCTTTGGATGCCTACTGTGGTCTACCTATCTGCGTTCAATTTCAACCACTCTCTCTCAAGGTGCCGTGCCTGGATCTCCTCCATGCTGAGGAACCTGAAATCGGATTTCTTCGCCAGCGCTACAAGTTGGAGTTTCTTGTTTGCTGCGAGTGCCTGCAACGCGGCTGGCTCTTTACTGTCTATATGATGCGCCGCAAACATTGATAGACCCTGTTTAAATCTCCCCTGGGATTATCAAGCCAAGGCCATTGTTTCCTCCATGCTCATTTTTTGTATACATCGAGTCGGGTAAGAGAAGAAAACAGAAAAAACAACGGCACAAGACAACTTACCGCTAGCTTCAGTGTCCGTTCAAAGGGCAAAGACCTTCAATAAGCCCTTTAGCTTCTTCAGTTCGATTATGTAGAGCATAACCAGGAGCTCTGGCTCCCTTAAGGCTTTGTCTCAAAGAGAGTGCTCAGATGAGTGTCCTTTTTTATTCAAGGCAAGGTTTCGTACACGGCGTTAATTTACGAGAAGACAAGGTGCCCGCCCTCTAGGAGTTGGTGGAGGTCACCCAACCGTGAAGGCAAGAAGTCGTGGCTATAGATAATGTACAAAGGCCAATATTTTATCAGACAACTACACATAATTATACGAACAGAGATCGTCTACCAGTAATTTGGTTCGCCTGGGGCATCAGCCAATCCCTGCCAAGGTGAGAATGCCGGAAAGTTTGTTGGAGGCGGAAGATATGTGAGTGAGACATCAAGACCGGTCTCGACAAACAACTGGAGGCTTGGAAGGATGTCGAGCATCATTTCTCTGTTGAACTGGATCTCCACTCGTTTCAGTGTGGTACGAGACTCTTCCGTCATCCTCGCAATGATGAACTTGAGGAGAGCCTCGTCTGAGATTGTGGAGCAGTATTTTATGGTCAGAGTCTCCAATGCTGCACCAGAAGTCGCCATGACTGCCAGGACATCATCGTTGAGGGACCAAAGTTCCGATTCTCTGTGACAGATATCGAGGATGTTGAGCTGCCGCAAAGAGGACGGCAAATTCCCGAGGCTATCGAGTAGAGGTGAATGAGAAAATGTATTGCTGGCGATATTGAGGCTTTCCAAGCGCGTCCAAAGGAGGAAGAAGGGGGCCAGTGAAAAGGTACTTTGAAAATCCGCATATCCGTGAAGGGTAAAGGTGTGTAATTCGGGGAGCGAAAGATGCTCCAGAAGACGTGGAATTGTGGAAACCGCACTTCCGAAACCCAACTCGAGTGTGTGAAGGAATCGAAGCTCTACAGTGGGGTGTAGTAATGACATCTCGATTATCGCGCTGTCATTGACCACTAGCTTGCAGCTGCGAAGATTTAGGCAACTCAAGAGTGTCTGTAACACCATTTCAGTAGTCATCGAGGAATGCCAGGCAAGGCCGTCAATGGTCAGCTCTGTCAGCTGATGCCAGTGAATTGGTATTTTTTCGCGGATGAAGATGTTCCCTGAGACAGATAAGCTGGAAATGCTGGGGCTCCTAAGCATCTCGAGAAGTTCCCAGTTCACAGGGAGGAACGAGGATCCCTCCTGCATGTGAAACGAGATGCTCTCCAGCATAGGCACGTCAGTGGAAGTAAGGTGCACCATGTTCTCGAGAATAAACGACGGATGTGTGAATGCGAAACGGATATGCTGCCAACGCGGCGCGAATGAAATAAGTGCCTGTAGGAGTTGCCCACGATGCGGGGACAAAGTGGGAAGTGAGGCTGGCGGCGAATCGAAGTCGTGGCCACCTTGGAGTGAAATCGACAAGGGGCATTGCCCGGAACGGCCCAACCACGTCTTGGTAATCTCCAAGCGCTGAGCTACTTTCTTGTCGTGTAATTCAGCAGCCGGCCCATAACCCAACGGAGGTTCAGCGACGTGAAGACGAGCCCAGAGGCGAGGTGTGGAAAGTGAAATGGCTCTCCATGAGCTACAGATGCGTCCGAGGAGAACAGGCGCCTCGGAGGCACTCATGACGCAGTTCCGGTGGGTCGGAATGCAGGCCACGAATATCTCTTGGATTATATCGAGGGGTAACCGGCGGACAGGCGAACTGAGAGCCTTGTGGGCCTCCACAAAGGCTCCCAGATCGTCGCGCTCTGCCGCCAGTTTATCGATTGCCTTTTGAAGGTCGGCAATTTCATCGTCAAGTCGCTTCAATCGAAGAGAGCGTTCGATGATGAAGCTTTTGATCTGTACGATCTCCTCGTCCTTGGGACAATAGTTGGTACCCAGCTGGGCAGCGAACGGGGAAGACATGAGTGTTAATGACAAGCAAACAAGCGCTGGCCGTACACGTTAGCGCGCTCATGTGACGTGAAACCAGAAGCGCGCAGATAGACGCGCAACTCTCCGAGCCAGAAAAAAAGGAGATCAAAGATAATCGAACAATCGCAGTGTAAGC